ACACCATTTTTTCCAGAAGTTTACTAAGGGTTGGTAACAGGCTGATTGGTCGGCTATTTGAGCCAGTAAAGGGGGCTTTACTATTCTTGGGTAGCGGAATGACTTTAGCTTCCCTCCAGGCCTGAGGGCACACACTTTCTAGTAGGCATAAATTGAAGATGTGGCAAATAGGAGTGGCAATATCGTCCGCTATTGTCCTCAGTCATTTCCATCCAGATTGTCCGACCCCGGTGGCTTGTCATTGTTGATAGACAACAATAATTTTTTTACCTCTTCCAAACTGACTTTACGGAATTCAAAAGTACAATTCTTGTCTTTCATAATTTGGTCAGATATACTTGGATGTGTAGTGTCAGCGTTTGTTGCTGGCATGTCATACCTAAGTTTGCTTATCTTGCCAATGAAGAAGTCATTAAAGTAGTTGGCAATGATGGAGCTGAGTTTGCCTTTTTCCCCAAAGTTTCATTTAAGGTGCTCCAAAGCTTTTTACTATCATTCTTTATATCATTTATTTTTGTTTCATAGTATAGTTTATTTTCATTTTTTTTTAGTTTAGTCACATGATTTCTTAATTTGCAGTACTTTGCCAGTCAGTTGGGCTGCCAGACTTATTTGCCATACCTTTTGCCTCATCCCTCTCAACCATACCATTTTTCAATTCCTTATCAATCTAAGGGGATTTAACAGTTTTTACAGTCATTTTCTTAACAGGTGTGTGCTTATTAGTAACTGGAATAAGCAATTTCATAAATGTGTCAAGTGCAGCGTCTGGTTGCTCCTCATTACACAACACAGACCAGCAAATATTATTTACATCATCAATATATGAATCACTACAAAACTTATTGTATGACCTCTTATACACTATATTAGGCCCAGCCTTTGGAACTTTGGTTTTCCTAGATGTGGCTACTGTATTGTGATTACTACATCCTATGGATTTGGATACTGCTTTAAAGCAAATTTCTGCAGAATTAGTAAAGATGTGATCAATACATATTGATGATTTAATTCCTGTGCTGTTTGTAACTACCCTGGAAGGTTGACTGACAACCTGAACCAGGTTGCAGGCACTGGTTACAGTTTGACGTTTTTTCTTGAGTGGGCAGCTTGATGAGAGCCAGTCAATATTTAAATCACCCAGATAATATACTTCTCTGTTGACATCACATATATTATCAAGCATTTCACACATATTATCCAGATACTGACTGTTAGCACTGGTCTATAGCAGCTTCCCACCAGAATGGGCTTCATTAGCCACTACTTTTGCCCCATCCCTTTCAACCATACAGTTTTTAAATTCCTTATCAATCCATGGAGCCTTAACAGTTCCAACAGTCAGTTTCTTAACAGGTGCATGTTCATCAATAATTGGAAGAAGCAATTTCATAAATTCATCAAGTGCAGCATCTGGATGCTCCTTGATGGCAATTTGAATGCACAGAGATACCGTGACGAGATCCTGAGGCCCATTGTTTTTGCCATTTATCCACTGCCATCACCTCATGTTTCAGCACTGTAAGTCGCTCTGGATAAGAGCGTCTGCCAAATGACTAAAATGTAAATGTAAATAATGCACAGCCCCATGTCGCAAGGATCTGTACACTATTCCTGGAAGCTGAAAATAGAATTGTTCTTCCATGGCCTGCATACTCACCAGACATGTCACCCATTGAGCATGTTTGGGATGCTCTGGATCAATGTGTACAACAGTGTGTTCTAGTTCCCGCCAATATCCAGCAACTTCGCACAGCCATTGAAGAGGAGTAGGATAACATTCCACAAGACACAATCAACAGTCTGATAAACTTTATGTGAACGAGATGTGTCGCGCTGCATGAGGCAAATGGTGGTCACACCAGATACTGACTGGTTTTCCACACCCCTACTTTTTTTAAGGTATGTGTGACAAACAGAGGCATATCTGTATTCTCAGTCATGTGAAATCCATAGATTATGGCCTAATGAATTTATTGACTGATTTACCTATATGAACAGTAACTCAGTAAAATCTTAGAAATTGTTGCGTTTATATTTTTGTCCAGTATAGCTGTAGTTTGGTGTGAGAGAAGGGTACACGCTCCCTAACTGACCTGACTATTGTATCAATCAGGTGAAAATGCCCTCTTGAAAACACTTCATCCACTACAGCATAAATGATGCAGCTATAGCAAGCTACACACTTCAGATACCCTCTGTTCAAACTCTGTTTGATGTAGCTGAATGTCTTCCTGTCGACAGCTCAGCCAAAGCTCCATCAGTCTCCCACACTTCCCCTCTCAGTCCTCTCCTCCCCCACCTCCCCTCTCAGTCCTCCCCCACCTCAGTCCTCCCCTCCCCCATCTCCCCTCTCAGTCCTCCCCCACCTCCCGCTGTCCTCTCCTCCCTCCCCTCCCCCCTCAGTCATCTCCTCCCCCACCTCCCCTCTCAGACCTCCCCCACAGTCCTCTCCTCCCTCACCTCCCCCCTCAGTAATCTCCTCCACCACCTCCCCTCTCAGACCTCCCCCACAGTCCTTTCCTCCCTCACTTCCCCCCTCAGTCCTCTCCTCCCCCACATCCCCTCTCAGTCCTCCCCCACCTCCACCACAGTCCTCTCCTCCCTCACTTCCCCCCTCAGTCCTCTCCTCCCTGCGCGACTACGGTAGGGAGGGATAGAGGGACGCTCTTATTAATGGTTTAGGTTAACCTAGTGGGGTCAAACCCATTGGAGCTGGTGATGGATCTGGTCTGCAGGAGCAGGGAGCCTGCCCTGAGATGAGGCAGGGATGATTCCTCCGGCCTCTGCCCACACATCTGTCTTTAGCCTGGCCGGTCTGTTTCTGTGATCACAAATACTGTGGGTAGGAATCAGAGGGATGGGGACATACTGTAGGGGGGGGGGTATAGGGTAGAAGTTCCCTGGGGGAGTAACTGATGGCCATTCAGATACAGTACACAAACACACTCCTACACACATGCACACTTGCACACGCACACTGTCTGTATGGGGTAGTGGATGGTGGTCCATTATTGAGGAAGCTACTTACCATGAGCTTGACTTATGTGATATATGGTCTATTGGAAGTCTACTGAACATGCTAGATGAATAGATGGATTTTTGTAAGATAAGAGTTGGAGTTTAATTAAAAGTAGAGATAATCCGAAGCCAAGAAAATGACATCATTCCCATTATGACATGCGTTGTAATTGACCCAAGACCTAGTTTTGGCACATGTACTGTATGTCCTAGATAAAATACTCTGATGCATACTTTTGTTTGGCAATAACCAAGAAGTGAAGTAGTGCCACTAGGAAAACAAAGGCAGTGCAATATCAAAGCATCTGACACAAGTTACGCTTAAATCAAGCGTACCGTTCATATGGACAGGTTTTACACGATGAGACGCTATCCGCTACAGAACAGAAAGTGATCTCAGAGAGAGAGAAACACAAGGGCTGATGTCAGCCCTCAGCTTTCAGCCTTCAGCAGAGGAGAAAGGCAGAGAACATGCTCCTGTTTCCATGTGGTGGGATAATATTAACGTGTGTGACTATGGGAGGGAGAGGGGGTTGGTTAATAATATCAATGATTTATATTGTTTCTGAAGAGATGCAGTGCCTGAAGAGGTTTTTTTATGCTAATTATAATTTCCATGTAGATTATACATATTATACTTAGTACTTCAATAGTTAAATTACAGTATATTACTATAGTGTAACGCTTTGGTTACATCCCTGTAAGGCCGACCCAGGACACAATCCCGTCTACAATTAGTGACTCATAAGTTGTGTGACTACAATAAAACAAAACATATGCTATCACAACCTAGGTTTTTATTATCTTCCATTTGATACATTTTATAGAAATTATAAATGACAAAAAGACCAACTGCTTCCTGTGCTGGTGCCTTGTAGCACAACACAGACACAGCTAATTGGGTTACATAGCTTTGCTGCAAGGCACACTGCAGACATGTTACTACTCTGAAAGTCCTGAGCTGCATACAGTAGATGGGTGGGTTGTTTAACGACTAAACCAATGCATGCGCAACCCTTAGAGCAAAACAGACGGAGTTGGCTTAGAATCAAAGGATTATTGACAACATATATATTTAGTCTCCAAATGTTTATTAAAAACATAAATACATTTGCAAAATGAGCACTTGTTGTCTCTCAAATACATTGTTACCGTTGTTGGTTAGCTAGCTAGTGAATTTTAGCCATATTAGCATAGACGTGACATGAGTGAAAACACCTCAAAACAAGACATGGTATCAATAACAAGATACAACGAGCTGAAACGAGCCACCTACGATTCCCCACATGGCAGCTTCTTGTCATTGTTGCTAGCTATCTGACCGTCCAGAATCATAACAACACACAGCCTTCTGCCTCTGCGATGCGCATGCATAGTTTTAGTGCCGTTGTCAGGCAACCCGTCTGTAGGGCAATGGAATTACAAAGCACAGGAAATTATAATATTCACACTGTCCTCAGCTTATAGGACATTCTGTAATTGATCTTTTGAGGGACGATTTCCTGGACACACAAAGTATGCTTAATGGAGTGCTCAAACTGGCTCAGAGTGGTCAAGTCACAGAGGGGCACATTTTCAGCAATGCATTGTTTAACATTGGGTGTTAACCTGAAAGTAAGCTTCATCTGTGTGTTATGAACTGAAATGCACTGCTCAACCTCGATGAGCAGACCTTTAATAACCTTGAAGCAGTTTATCTCCTCTGACATTTGACTCTTTTGACCAACAAGTTCACAGTTTATTGGCTCCATGGAGAGGCATCATGTCTCTCCAGTCTAGGAGACAACCAGTCAGTCATCAGCATCTAGGCCTACATTATTCAGACTTCTGGAGGTCCTCTTCAATCAATCAGTGTCACAGTCAGATTTCTGTCAGTCAACATTGGGGGTTATAAACGTGCGCAGTAGTAATGTTAAAGTTAGAGTGGCTGTGAGTCAGTTGGCTGGCTGGACATGCAGAAGAGACATTCACAATCACTATCACATGGCCCAGGATATGTTGGCCGCATGTTCTTTAGCCTTCATCCGCAGCACGGCGATGCTGGACGAGCGTCTCTCAAACTCGGGCTTGGTCTCGAACGGGTGTCCATTGGGCGAGGGCGTGAGGAGGGAGTCGGCCGTGAAGAAGTTGTTGAGGGAGACGTGTCCAAACTGGTTCTGCTGGTTGGGGAAGCCCACGTACCCATGGTCGGCTGCAGAGCGGGGGGAGTGGGAATAGGAGGTGACACATGGGGGAGATCCACGGGGAAGCATGCAGGAGGAGACCACAGAGCCACTGGGAGCAGGGCTGGGCCACAGGTTGTTGGGGATCTGTGGAGGAAAATAAAACAGATAATTATTTATTTGGTTATTTATTATTCTACCGGAGAAGTTGATTGGTCTTGATTTTGATTATGAAGTGCTACTGATGTTTTCAGTATTTTGCCACTGTGGGGCATTAGCGACATTTCCACATTGCATTAAAATTATTATATTCTATATTGAGGGTATTTTCTTTTTATAAAGTGTTATCAGGCTACTTTAGCTACATTTCAGATGTCAGGGATGTGATAGAAGATCGGGGGGATGGGGGGGCTTCCTGTCCAGATGTCACAAATTGTATTCCTGATTAACCAGGAAAAATCTAATCTGTAAGATCTGAACTAATCTGGTCACTATACTTACTATTCAGCATTTTCCCTACACGCTTAGACAAAAAAGGTGCTATTTAGAACCTAAAAGGGTTCTTCAGCTGTCCTGATAGGAGAATCCTTTGAATAACCCTTTTTGGTTCCAGGTAGAACCCTTTTGGGTTCCATGTAGAGGAACCATAAAGGGTTCTCCTATGGGGACAGCCGAAGAACTCTTTTGGAACCATTTTTTCTAAGAGCTTTTTCTAAGGGCTGCAACCATAGTAGGCTACTGCCAAATGTTGGTTTACATACAAATAGCTAATACTAGAAACATAATTAATTGTGGTGGTGGTGAAGATTGTGGTCTGGTTTGGTGGTTATAAGTAATGACGTTTTTTTAGTGTTTATATTTTCAGCTGGTTGCAAACAAAATTATTTCCCTAAACATATGACATCAGAGAGCATATCAGATATGACCTCAACCATCTATAAATATAGCAAAAATGTTACACAAACTGCACATTTTAAAACAAATCCAGATCATGCTGTTTTGTAGAAATGTCCATGTCCAACCCACAAAAATGTAATTTATGTTCCCCCTACAGTATGAACAAGGAAGAAATCATCAACTTTCAACTGGATTTAGTCATGGTTGTATATCAAACAGTAAAATATAGTGCATGTTTCAATCCCCCACTTATCGTCAGTGCCCTCTATAGTAAGTAATCTATCTGGATAAACTATATTAAAGGAGCGGCAGGTAGCTTAGCGGTTAAGAGCGTTGTGCCAGTAACCGAAAGGTCGCTGGTTCAAATCCCCATGCCGACTAGGTGAAAAATCTGTCGATGTGCCCTTGAGCAAGGCACTTAACCCTAATTGCTCCTGTAAGTCGCTCTGGATAAGAGCGTCTGCTAAATGACTAAAAATGTAAATGTAAATGTAAAATGAGATGGGTTTATTCTAGTGTTTATATGAGAAACATATGAGAGGGAACAAAATATGCTGAACAGAATTCAGGCATGGATTTAGCCCAGGACATTGAGAGCCTGGCTGTACGGCTTTACATCTTCAAAGCTAATCCTCTTCAACGATGTTAGTCTGTGAGAGTAGTCTATCTACTTCAAACACGACACACGCGTTCTACACCGACATGAGTGACCACACCCCACCTAAGGATTTCGATGGGTTAGACAAAGTTAAACATGTATCATCGTTTACGGGTATGAAGGCTTTATAGGAATGCGTTCTTGCAGCCCCTTATGGCTTTAACGTTTAATGTTGGCTTTAAAAGAATAGCCTACACAGCCTAGAGAAAAGTAGCCTTGTCGCGCCAAAGGGATAAATATTTTCAGTGAAATCTGAGACGGAATCATTTATTATAAATAATAATAAATCATTAATTCCAGTGGTTTGCCGAGATACTTTCTAATCAACTTTGGAAGTCTTATCTGAAATATGGTGCATGATAAATCGAACCCGCCGTCAAAGATGGTAAATCTATCAAGGGTTTGTGGCGGTCAACAGCCCTCTCATCTTATTTATAGTCTAACTTATTCCATTTTGGCGCACGACATGCTCCACAAATGATAGTCCTAATTATTGTTAATAATTACCTCATTAGTATAGCCTACCAAAATCATATGTTTAATTTCAGATTATATAATTTTACAGAAAATGGAGACAAAAAAACTATTCAACAGTGGCAAATAAATTGTAGCCCTGGTAAAAGAGCAAACTTGCCTGAGAGTAACTGTCTGTTCTTGGCAACACTGATATATCGTATGTGGCTGCAAAGTGACTTTTTGCCTGTTGAATCTGTCCGTAACGTTCTCTTTTTCTCCACTTGGCTCTTCTGTTTTGAAACCACACCTAAAAGGGGAACGAGAGATACAAAATAATCAAACGTTGTCTATAAAGAACTTGGTCAACATGTCAACATGTACCCTTCTTTTTCAGCGTTGTCTTATCCTATGGCTATATTATATTACATATAGAGTACACCAAGCCCTCACATAAATATAGAGCCAATAAAGAAATCGATGGTAAATTCTTAATTGACAGTAGCTAATCTTAAATATGCTCCTAAAATATAGTTAAAATGCATAAATGGCCAACATAGCCCTACATTAAATAACATTGGGCCTACATATTTTGTATATCCTAAATAAATAACGAATTGTTTTAATAGACCTAAAATAAGCCCGAAGTGATCTCAGTCAATAGTAGGCTACATGTCATGTTCCCGTTTCTGTTCCTAAACAACGCTGCAATAGAACAACTGAAGGACAGTGAGAGTAGGTCTACATTACCTGCACTCTGGCCTCCGTTAGTTCAGTCCTCATCGCCAGCTGTTCTCTCACATAAACATCTGGGTAATGAGTTTTCTGAAACACCTTCTCCAACTCCTCTAGCTGTGCGCTCGTGAATGTCGTCCTGTGCCGCCTCTTCTTACTGCTCGATACGTTACTGTCACACTTGTCACCCATTTCGTCCAAATCCGTTTTCTCCTGACCTGCCGTTACCGGCGAGGCCCTCAGATTGCAACAGTTGTCGATCGACCTTCCAAGGTCCGCGTGCAAGGTATCTTCCGTTTTCGGGACACCATAATTCGCTATATGAAAGAAAAATAAAATTATCATTTGTATTATAAATCAATGAAAAACGCAGATGTTGCAAAAAAATATAGGCATATGCCATATTGCCATATTAAGTAATCTATGCGCAACAGGCGAGTGATAGGCTATAAATAATAGGCCTATTCACGAATATATTTCATTTAAGAGAGATATATAGGCCTATTTGTTATCTAACCTATATGCGGTGAATGTGAAATATTTTGCACTACGGTTGCATTTAAGTTTTAACTTAATAATGTGAGCCTATAAAAAAACGGACATTCCTAATATTAAACAGGCACATTTTAAATATGATCACATCTGCCCAATGCTCTTTCAAGGTGTTACTAGCTTGGCAATAAAAAAAAAGAACTAAATTGCCTCAATCCAGTCGTTTATGGATTTAGAGCAACAAGAATGACATAACACATTTTAAAAAATTGTTTGTGATATGGCACATACTCAGTCAAATGTGGAGATGTGATGAAATTACACACAAGTAGCCTACCATGTTCGTTTCTCAGGCACAATTTTGAGAACAAAAAACGTACATGTATCAGGAGGCCTTTTGGTAGGTCGTCATTGTACATAAAAATATGTTCTTAACTGACTTGCCTAGTTAAAAAATAGCCTATAATGCATTTACACGCAGTTATAGGCCTAATGCATCGTAACAGCACATCTCATAGCCTACCAATTCCAGCGGCAGTTGAAACTATATTTGGTAACGTTTTATGCATGGAAAGTGGAAAAAGTGCCATTTACTAACCGTTTTGGTCTCCACAAGGCGAGGACTGCTCCATTCGCGGGTGGTGCTCGCTGCTCTGTATCCCGAAGGCCTGCACACACTTGGGCGAGGTCTTGCTGTAGTACTGCACACTGTCCAAACTCTCCATAACTTGGTCCAGCGCGCCACCAGAGCCCATGTAGTAGTCGCTGCCCTTAATCGCTTGACTTTTCAATGCGAATTTATCGTTCATGTATTCCATCATCTCCTACCCCAGATCCCGTCGCGCACAGAACCTTGTCAACAGACCTTAAATAAGTTCTGTCGACGTTCGACAAAATGGAAGAGCTATATCGGCTACCCCGGCAACACAATAATTCGCCAAAGCCGTTAATTTGTCTCGTCTTGAAGGCACTTTGGTCTCTTTATAACAGGAGGGAGAGGGGGTTCCTTGACGAAGCCTCCCTCCCCACTTTTGAATATGGAGCAGTAAGAACTCCTCCCACGCGCACAGTCCAAACCAAACACACTTTAAGTGATTCTAGACCCTAGAAATGGTCTTAAAGGAAACAGTCAAATTGACTTTAAAATGTACAACATGTTTAGACACCCCAAATAAAGAGGGGTAATGATTTATCTAGCCTACTGCAAGTTGAGACTGCACATACAATTTGTTAGAGCGCATGGCTAATTCAAACGGACATTAATAATAATAATAATAATATGCCATTTAGCAGACGCTTTTATCCAAAGCGACTTACAGTCATGCGTGCATACATTTTTTTGTGTAGTCCCGGGGTTCGAACCCACTACCTTGGCGTTACAAGCGCCGTGCTCTACCAGCTATTGGTTGAATAATTGCTAATGAACGGAATAACTGTATTATCATGGCAATATATTTAGTAAAATATTCATTCACAATGTGTAACAACTTTTATGATATTTTTGGAATTCAAAACTATGCTTTTAAATGGAATACTTTCTCTACAAAATGGTGAATTATAGGCCGATGCAAATTGCTCGTGGGTCTTTTAGATAAATTATAGAAATTAAGACTGACTTATTTGTGTGCTTTGAAAGACAGTTGTACATGCGCCCAATTTTGTGGTAATTCCTTAGGCCGACTGTATAGGCTAATAATAATAATTACAATAATAATGTTAATTTGTTTTGCATTTTTATTGTCACCTTTCATCACATTTGCTGCAGTTACGCGCAAAACACATTCTGATTATGCGAGGCTTTTTAATCTATTGAAATGTATTGTTTGGTTAAACATAGGCACATATTACAATATCAGCTATCTTTTTTAAATCTATAGCCTAACACCTGAAGCATGCATTATTTATTACACTGTAAGCGCAAGCAATTGTAGTGTATTTTAAGATAATGTCACAATATGTCTCTATATGTGCATATTTTTAACGCGTGATTTAAAAAAGGCCATAATAAAGGTGATCCTTATGGGATGATAAGTATTATAAGGTGCTCATAGGCCTACCTGCTTAAAAGTCATAATGAATTTAGACTAATTTAACTTGAGTAATAGCTCAAGTTTGCGTGTGCCTCAATGGTGATTGCAGTATTACAGAGCTAATAGTTATGCACAGTTGTGACGTGCAGAATTGTATCACAACAGGACACTTTGGAAAAAAGGTATTTCACTTCAGGGAAACGAATTCATATGTTTACTGGGATGGTATTGACTTGTCAATGGAATCTGTGTGTCGTGTCTCAATGTTCAGCAATGTTAATCGGATTTAGTGAGAATCCATGGAACTTCAAATTGGAGCAACATAGCCTACTCACTGCAACTCGCACGAAAACATGTAGACAGCATATTTTTGTAAGGATCTTTAACAAGCAATGCAATGCCCTGTCCAATTTAGCAGACCAAACAAAGACAACGAAAGTTAGGCTACATGTCAGCATGGCCAAATAATTAGATAATGTACATATTTACTTGTTATAAGACTGCATTCGTGGTATGGTTTTGATAACAACCACATGAGTGAGTTTATATGTCAGGGAGGAACTATTTTGTGGACAAATGTATAGCCAATACTACGGATTATCATTTTACCCGTACTGCGCAAAAATGCGTAAAGTTGTGCGTCAAAGTGTGTATGTGTGTGTATTTGTGATTCCTTTTCCCTATATATTCTAGTCTAACAATTTGGGGTGATAGGGGCTCAATGCAAAATATTGAACAAAGGCATAAAATAAGGCTATTCATAACCTTTTAATGAATTAAATATTGGCTATATTAAAGATAAATAGAATACATTGACGAGGAAACGCCTGCAAGAAACCAAATAACAGTACATACGACCACCGTGCTTAAAAAATAACAGGGAGACAAGTTCCTCTCCATATAATGACAATAATTATATTGCCAAGAACCGAACCCTCTTCCCCCTACTTCCATACCGTGGGCCTACCACCTGCCATGCAGACCATATTCAGCTATGGTTCGCTATTGGGTCATTGATAATACCTGGGGTTGGATGGTGCCACTCGAGAAAAAATAAAAATAAATATGAGTGCTCTTAAGTAGCAGGGGGGAGTCTTATTGGGCTTCTAAGGTGACCTCGCCACGCGGCCTCATGCTGAGGAGAAAAGGCGAAAAGTTCGCGGCGGTTTGGTCTGTAGGTGGGCGATGGACTGAGAACTCCCGCCACAAGCGGCAAGTTCTTGAAAGTGGACATGATGTTGTCATTGCTGCAGGCTTGCCATAACAAAGGGTTGCATCTATTAATTATATATTTTAAAAGTAAATTAAAAAACTAGACTTGGGATATTTATAATAAATTATGGTTGCTATGTTGGTTTATCTGTTGCTTAAAATCAAACTACTTTCACGCACCATTATTTATTAATTCCTTCAGAAAATAATCTAAATATCATTATGGTGAAAATTAAGAATCGAATCGAGTAAAAAGTCATTGATTAGACCAACGAGTAATCACAAAATCAGCCTTGTTGAGCCTATGTCTGAATAATAATAAACAATTGGAAAGTAGCCTGTAATTTAAGGCTCTAGCTAGCCAAAGTCAGAGTGTCAACTCTAATTTAGTGTCAGTGTTTTTGTCACTCATGTTAAAGTCTTAGATATACAGTATTACAGGCTACTCTCAAAATCAAAAAGCAATCAACGTTTATTTTGTTGTTGCAGCCTGGCTATACGATTAGCCATTTATATAGAAACCTCTCTCCAAATGGTTATGAAATGTTAAAGCAATTGATTAATCCTCAGTGTTTGTTTTTATTGTGTTGGTCTGTCTTTTGTGTTGCATGCTCACACAGACAGGCATGCCTAGAAAGTCAGGCACTGAGTCAGTGTAGAATGTAATCTGGGTTCATGTACAGAGACCTCTACGGTCACTGGTCTAATTAATATGACAATAAACCACTAGATGAGCTGATCCCAGATGTAGGAGAGATAGCTACTACTGATCATGATACAATAAGTGGGAAAACTAATCAAAATACACATCTATAAATTATTGGACCTAGCTCTCAAAAACGGCAGAATGTGGAAAAATAGAACAAAAGCCTATACATTTTTGATTATATTTATAAGGTTGACCATTCATGCTACAATTCAAGTTGACCACTCAACTCAAGGTTAGACTTTCAAGCATGATACAACATAACAAGGGTCAATGGGTGCTGGTGTCAACACCCCTCTATGGGGGTCCGGGGGCATGCCCTCCCGGAGATTTAAAAAAAGATGCACGCGTGCACAGGGACTGCTGCACAGAATAAATATCAGCCTGTGCAGAGAAGCACGTGATTGAACTTCGCTGAACTTTCTAGTTTTCCCCTTTAGTTAACACTATCAACGTTTCCCTCTAGTGTGGGAATTGACAATATCAGTCACTTTCAATGCAACATACCAAAACAAAACGGACTACGCAAGACTTAGTATACAAAACTAACTATGCAAGATATTTTCTTGTAGGCAGAACGCACCAGAGTAAGATTCTATTGCATTGACAGGCATGACTCAGCCCATACTCTACAAACTGGTGCAGCATAACCAATCAGAGCTGCAGTATCCCTATATGCAAATAGAACATTGCCATATATGGATCTGTGCCATTCACTTTGAACTGGACTGTGTTTACAACATGAGTGGTCATGAGTAGATGCGATTGTTTTGAGATCAAAGCAAGAGCTGCATGTAGCCACTCCTACACATTTGTTCATATTCTTTGCTAGTAAGTGAGTTATTAGCCCAGTTACAGCTCATTTCTAGTCAGCAATGGTGGAGTGGTTGCTTCCTACAAGAGCACAAAATGTGTGGATTTCTAGCCATCTTTGAAAAGCAAGTCAGGTAAAGAGCATTTTTTCTGTCTTAAAGGGGCAGTGTTGTATTTTGAGACAGGCTTAAATAAGCTAAGCAGCCATTAGGCAGAGGGTAGCATAATTTGTCTGATTCTCTGTAATAATGATATGGGAATAATAATTAACTTTGTAAAGTGGTTTCTTGCATCAAACACATTTTCAGTCACCTCCTTGTCTGAATGACAAGTGGATAAACAGGTTAATGTCAAGCCCTGCATATTTCTTCCAAAAGACTCACGGAATGTAGGTATCCATTGAAAACCACACATTGGCTGCTACTGTAGGCTGACAACAACAGAACAGCTATTTCCATGTTAAAATGCTATGGGATGCATTTTCTCCATTGTTTTTGATGGTATGCCACTCTGATAGGCCTACATTATGATCAAATAGCCTCAGTAGTTAACTGTAACTTAAAGTGGGTACAGCCTCAGTGTTCACAGTAAACGTGCCAGAAGTTGCACAGAATTTTCACAACGTTCAAGTTTTCACTCAGCAGACCTGACATTTGCTCAGTGTCCAATTTGTTTTTGAGGAAACATTGGTGAAATGGTTGTTTCTGGTTAATTTTGAAGGGAAAATATGCACCAAAAAATTGTCCTGATAATTTTGTCAATATACCCCAATCACAACTGAAACACCAATATTTTTCTAATTACTTTAAACTGTGTTCTTACACTTAACAGTTCAGAAAGTCACCACCACACCCCTTCTTTAACTACTTTTAAATGTCAAAACCCATTATTCTACTTGTGTACCCTTCACCACACTTGGCTAGTACATGGTCTTGAATAACACATTTCTTATACCCAACTAACTTAGAAGGAGTCGAGGCAATCTGAGTCCAGACACTTCTTAGTTGGTTCCACAATTTAATTTCAGTATTAATTCATAAAATAATTAAGTGAAAGTCAA